AAAAAAACTTCTGCATGCTGTAAAAGGACTGAAAGCAAGACATCATGTCAAGTTAACTTCTCTCCTTCATTCGATTACGAGAAATCAAGTTCATTAGCATTCTTTATCTTTCCAAGTGAATGAAGGTCCACCGCACCACAGCAGACACCCAGATGTTGTGATGCATGACGCACGGTTTTCTGTGGTTCCGCATCTACCAACCAATGATTTCACTTTTTTTGAGCTTTTGCAGATAATGTTGAACTATGCACAGGTAACTTAAAGTTTGCCCAACGGTGTTATTTTATTTACAATTGTGGCTGTTGTCACGGTTTTGTTATATCTTAAAAATCTCGAAACTACAACCAAAAGCAACGCATTTCTGAAAGACCAAGAAAAGTGTTTGAATAAAAGAATCACGCCTTAAGGAGGGTACATAAGATACATAGATTTCTACACAAAATAGCAGTGATAATACTGTCGAAAGCGAAGCGTTGTTTTTGGCAACATTATGGCTAAAAACAATTAATTTTGCACCTCAAAAGAGAAGGCTGCTCTTTGAAGTAAGATGGTGAAGATGAGCAATTGACTTTTGTTACTTGTGAAACGTTATACCACACGTATGCAGTCAACACATGGAAAAGGCGTAAAGTTCATTCAAACATGACACAGCAAAAAATTCTGTTTGCACTCTTACTATGACCCAACTTCTTACTGACTAGAAGGTCATAAGTGTAGTCTTCTTACCCTTTAATTCTTACCTTGTTGGAATCGGTTCGTCCCCCAGAGCTTCTTTGGGCTTTGACACCTTCGCAAGGGGATCGTCGAGGTATTTCTCCTTCATAATACGAGCTTTGACAAACTCCTCAATACCTGGTCGATACTTCGCCTTAACCACAGCAGCGTGGAGATTAGACATTCCATCAGCGTTACCATTTCTTGGGAACACGGAACAACGTACCTTGAAGTAGTTTTGGTGTGTGTTTATATAATCTACAATTTCTGGTCCTGTCATGTGTGCTTCCTTTCCTGCATCTGAAGTTATACCACAAGTAGATAAATGTGTTTATCAATAGTTTCAATCTAGCAAAGGTTACCCTTCTCGTATGTTATTTTCTCAGAGAAGTTGAAAATTTTGCTCCGCTTAAGTGCTCCCGTGATTCATGACGTGCATACCGAAAAACGATTGAAATGCGTCTTTCTTTTGTTGAGAGGTTCTTGATTTCAAACTATCTTTGCTCAAAATTTTTCCTTCTTTTTTTTTCTTGTGCTCTGATAGGAGCTCCTTTGGGCTCAAATCAACAGAGATACAAACTCTTACGTTCTCTGGAAGATAATCTGACAGAAGGGTATAAATAAACAGATTTGCAGCTATTGACTCGGTCACCTCAACATGCGAAATCCTTTTTGAAACTCATGTTATTAAGTTCTTGATTGGCTTAAATACCTTTTGGCAAAGCGATCATTCATAACGGCCAGAGCACAACGTTTGGGGAAATCATTTATTTAGTAAACTCTGGAGGTTGAAAAAAATAGTTTATGCGAGCCGTCTTTCTATGAGATCTCTTGCTTCTCCCCTTTCCACTGGAGCATACAAGCAGAAGAAGTTAAAAGCCGCATTTTGTTATATATTAGATTTTGGCTGAGTTTGTGTACAAAAGCAAAAAGTCTGAACACGCTTTCGATCCTAGAAAGATAAGTTCTACCACAAGTATGTAGACGTGAACTTATCGAAATTTACTATGTTCTAGGAAGGCTGGTCATAAAGATTTTTTTTACTTCAAAACCTAAAAATTTGAGTGCCTGAAGTGCAAGCGGAAACACATTAGAAAACGTGCCCTTTTTGTCGACCTACTTGAATCAACTTGGCGCACAAATTCTATTTCTTTTTCCAAATCTATTGCCACTCTTGTGCTCGGCGTTTAAAAAGCTTGAAAGTCAAAAAAGACCTAAGCAAAGCCTCTTCACGAAAAGACTCGACAAATGTCTCATTTGAATATATTGCACAACACAGACCTGTTATTGTTTAAGTTTCTGAGTCATAAGACGAGAGTTGGAGACGGCTCAAATGAAGGTATTGTAGTCAATGCACCGTCACCTTAGAACGCTTTTTATGAAATTCGTACGAATAATTATTCATTCGACATTTAAGTGCCTAGCTCGTTTATCACCCATATGGCCAGCTTGGCAAAGTGGTCTTTTATAGCAGTAAGAGCAGAATATCTTTGCTAGAGATCAACGTCTAACCCATAAGCGTTAACGTGAT